CTATATGTTCTCCCTATATGTAAGTTCCTCAATAACCCCTATGTCTTGTTCGCTGGCTCTGGGTCTCTTCTCAGGCCTCTTGAACATAGTGCCATTCCTACTGAAGTCAATAGGGGTCTGGCATGACAGATATCTTCTCTTAATAAATCTCTTGGGGTTGACTAGCTTTTTATGATGTTTCTTTGAACTTATAATGGAACAGAGTTCACAGAAATCCTAGTACCTGTCCATGAGTTGTTGGGTGAGGGGTTAAGTAAGTTGCATTCTACAGTAACTACAGGCGAACAGGAAATAGCTATTAGTTTTCTACATTCTCACTGAACACATCACAATGTGCATACAAAAAGCCCCAAAAGCTCTTAAAGGGAAGTATTTTAGGGTAGGAAGGATTGTGTAAATTTATAAGAACGACTTTTGTTTCTAAATTATTCAAATTGAAATATTTATAAATGAGCATGTATTTCCTTTGTAATTGTAAACAGCAAATAAAAATATTATGTTTAAAAAACTCTGGTTTGATTCACAGGCTTCTTAGATTTAAAAACATCATTCCAGAGAATGTACTCAGTCCTTGCTGGTCTGATTTACGTGTTAAATGACTAGACTTAAGAATAAAGAGAAGGTTGAAATGCATGCTTCTACCGACCCAAAATGACTTTTTCTTCTCACCCTACCCATCTTGCTGATTCAAATTACTGTTCCTCTGTAGCTTGTCACTCTTGTCAGCAACACAGAAATATGAGGCTTTTCTGACCTGAAAGTCAAGCAACTGCACAATACAACTTTGGGAGTCAGAGGCAGCAAAAGGGTTCAGCCAGTTTATTAAATGGACTTAATTCAATGGAGGACACATCAGATGTTAAAAATATTTAGTCTAGACTCAGTAAAAGCTCCAATTTCACATATAGTTTAAAGCAGTGGGGAATATTTTTATCATAATAATTTATTTGACCCAATATATCCCAAATATTATCATTTTAATATGTAATCAATATATAATTATTAATGAAGTATAATTTTTGGTACTAAATCTTGGCAACTCTGTCTAATATTTTAAGTTTTCAGCAGATGTCAGTTCCGAGCAGCCTATTCCATGTGCTCAGCAGCCCCATGTGGCCAGTGGCTGCCACACCGAAGTGCAGCACTGAGGGCTCTGACTCTCTTGATCTAAGGAAGCTGAAGGGCCTGAAACACTCTTCAGCTTCCTTAGCTGTTCCCTTATGTGAGAGAACAGCCTCTGCCTCCCAACATCTCTCCTTAGGCCCAAGGGTGAGAGACTTTGCCCCTAGAAAGCAGGGGCTGCAAGAAGAAAGTGTCCACAGGTACCACTGCTGCCCCACCTGATGTCCATCTTCCTTCCAGAGATCAGACAGTAAACAAAGGATGATAAGACCCCCCAAAAAGGAAACTCAATGTCTTCAGATCTGTCTACATCCTTGATCTCCAAAGTGTAGATATGGAGGAAATAGATTAAAGGCGAACTTCTTATTTTGCTATTTGCTATTCGGCCTTGGCCCTAATGGTCAGGCCATGGCTGTTTCCTTCTGTGGCGTGGGGGACTGTGCAATTTAAGCACCAATCACATGTACACATCTACATGCATTTCGGTATAACTCACCACCATCTAACAAGAGATCCAACTTTAAATAAGGGGAAAATGAAATCTGTACCTATAGGGTGCTTTCTGTTTGCAGGTAACTAGTAATCAACCTGTCATTGAATCCTGGCATCCCATTCGCACTGGGTACATGTACTAGTTAGCTCTTGCATAACAAACCATGCAAGACTTACTAGCTCATGATGGAGTTGCTCAGCTATTTGGGCAGGGCTCAACTGGGCCATTCTTTTGGGCTCAGGTGGGCTCCTTCGGGCATATGTGATCAGCTGCTGGTTGACTAGGTGGCTCTGCTTCTGAGTGTGAGTTGGCTGTCAACTGGAGCAGTTTGGCTCTCCTCCCCATGGTATCTCATTCTCCAGCAGGCTAACATGGGCTTGAGGTCATGGAGATGGCAGGGTTCTCCAGAAATGGGACATTTCAGGAAATTTTGACTTTCCTCAAAATCCTTAGGGGAGTCTTTTTCTTCTCAGCTCTAGAACCCTCTCCCTGGGTCCTGACTCTGGGCTCCCTTTCTCACCTTCAGTTGGGCAGGAGACCTGGATCCCCGTCCTCAGAGAAAACGGAGGCCCTAGGGCTTCCACAAAGGAGGGTCAGATTTTTACCTTTACTTGTCTTCATTCTAACTATGAATTATCCCTTCTATGCATAATTAAAAAGGGATTCAATAATTTATTCTATAGCTCTTAGACCCCTCAGCCAAATAAAATTTCTACAAATGTATTAGCAAGAGGAGAAGAATCATAAACAGATTTGTTTAATGAGAGCTGTTGCTGATCTGTGTAATCCCATCCTTAACTCCAAAGAGTGGTGTATTTGTGGGTGAGGTGGAGGGGTGGGTGGGTTGGAGTGGGGTGTTACCTTCTAACCCCTAGCCTAGTAAGGGAGGTCTCAAGGGAGCTACTTGGAGAATTTGAAATATGGCCCCTGAAATTGAGGACACAGAGGGCTAGTGTCTGACCCAGTAGAGACAACTACAGTGGACTGTAGAGTCAGGGGCTGACTTTCTTGGGTATAATCCAAAAGGGCTGATTCCTTTGATTGTAGAACTAGGAGAATGGAGCTACCTTGGGATTGGCCTGTGCTCCCAAAGTTGTTGGTGCAAGGTATGTATCATCATTCCTACAGAGGGGATTTAGACTATTTGGGGAAAGGGAAAGAATTGGCTTGGGGTTGTCTTAGGCCTCTCCTCCAACTTAAGTGAGCTTCTAGAAGAAGATTACAAGACATCAGCAGGAAAAGGCGTAATTAAGTGTACCTCAGTATGCTCTGGGGCTTGTGGAGGAGATATAAGTGACTGCCTGTCAGTGGCTCAAGTCCCTGCAAGTTTGTGTCTTTTCACAGTCAGCCTTTTGTTGATGCTATTTCAATCATAAAAGCCATGAGCTGTATGAAGGTCTGAAGGAGGTAATTTTCCTTAGTGGTATCCATTCATTTGGTAGTCAGAACCAAGGACACAAAGCTCTAGCCACTCCACAAGTCAGTCAATATTGCAAACCATAAATAGTAGTATACTTAACCAACATATAAATATTATAGGCTGAACATTCTAAAAGAAAGTAACATTTAACATCAAGAGAAAGGTTAGGAAAACGGGGTTAACCAATCCAAAGAGAGTAACATGGACAAGGAGAGTATCCTGGGCTGATCAGGATGCATGTCAACATTCTGCAAGGAAGAGTCTTTGATTTGAGAAGAGCCTTTGGTGGCAGATGCTGGATGCTGATCATGAGCAACAGTATGACAGTGTCTGTTAAGATGGTTATCTCGAGCTGATGAAGTTCTACTCTTTTTATAGCCTCAGAGTCCTCTGCTGATGACTGATGGTAAAGAGTGTGCCTGGTTATGTGCTTATCTGGTTGGGTGCAGTCTCTATTGATTAGGTGAACATCTGGTCCCTTCTGGCATGATTCCTTTTGAAATGTAAATGGAGTCTTTTTAAAGAAGTAGTTACTTATGTCAAGGATGCTCTCTACAACCTGGAATAGAGATATCAACCTGGAAGTGATACCCTTCCTCACTTTAAGGAAGCTATGACAGAGGTCTCCAGGGATATGAATTATTAAGGGAGAAAGTGAAATTCAAACATTTCCAGGACTAGAGGACTTAAAGCCAGCTTATGATGGTACCAGTTCAAGTTAAGACTATTCTCCCCTAATCTCTTCTTCCCTTCTTATTCTGTCCGGGCAGGAAGGACTATCCTACTTTTTTCCTACAGCAGGCTTCCAGCTGGAAGTAGATTCTAGGTAGAGGATAACTCATCACCACATAATACATTGGAAAAAGATGATGGTATTTTTTCTCACAAGAGTTGTTTTTTGACTACATCACAGTGGTGAAACATGCACTCACACCCCTGTGGACTCAGGTAAGCCATCCCAGGAGTTTCCTCCTTCTTCATTGTGGGCCTATGGCAGTGTGTTTTGTTTGCTGATGCATATACCTTTATGTACAAAGCTATCATGGAAATTCACAGGCACGCATACATCTGAATAGAAAGGATAAAACATCAAGTGATAAGTTCATGTCCAGCCAACCAGTTATTCCGGCTTGACACCAGTGCCAGTAAATTAAAGTCATTTGGACAGCTAGTCAACTTTTATTCAGAGTCACCCATTCTTGCAATCACACACATTCCACCTTGTACACGAGGGCCAAACTTCCTTTTAGTGAAGAAGTATAAACCTCTAAAATTGACTTGGATCTCCAGGTGCACCTAGTCCATTCTTTGTGGAGTTCCCTTGCTGTTCCAGTCTATCAGCTTAGGCTGAGTCAAATATCCCAATAAGGTTACCCTGCTATGAGCCAACACCCTGCTCTGCAGCCCTCCCACATCTCAGCGGGCGCGGAAGCCAGCGCGGGCAACGTGGTGACGTCACTGCGTCCGGACGCGCCCCGCCCCTGAGCAGTCCTTGCTGCCCCGCCTCCACCCTGCTCGCCGCCAGGGGACGCTAGTGGGTCGAGTCTCCTTGGCAACCACTTGCTCCTCCTCCTCCGCCCTTTTAACCTTTAGGGTGCGCGGGTGCAGTGTACCTCGCGCTCTCTCCCCTTTCCCCCTCCCCTTTCCCCACCCCTGGCGCTCTGGTAGGTCTGGACCGGAAGCGAAGATGGCGACTCCTGGCGCGGCCTCGGCGGAGCTGGTGATCGGCTGGTGTATATTCGGCCTCTTACTACTGGTAGGGGAGGCGCTTGGAGTTTTCCCGATGTTTGGACTGGCGGAGGAAGGGAGGGGTCGGCCCTGCAGTTGGCCTTTCCGGACCCCGGAGACCCTCTTCGCCCCGCCCCTCTTTTAGCCTGGACTATGGAGGGCTTTTCGGTGTTGGGGGCTTGGGCGGGCGGCGGGGGCAGGGGGGTGCCGATTTTCGGTCGCTTTTGCTTTCATTTCACTGATGACGTCTAGGGTTGCAGGGTCCTTTTTGGAAGCTCTTGCCGTCATCCCTGATTTGGGCAATGGGGCCGGTGGGGTTTGGGGGCGGAGGAGACCCTCGGGGTTGAGAAGCATGTAGTGGCCTTTCGTCCTCTGTAAAACAGTGGCACACAGTGTGGGTCGGCAGCGCTGGATCTTTGCAAGTTAAGTAGGCGCTGGCGTTGTTTACTTGTCGCCTTCTCTGTATGTTTTTTCCCCCATGTTCCCTACCCTTGGGGCTAGTGAGTCTCCAACCTCTGTACCCATTGTGTGATTCTGCCTTGATGACGTGAGTTGCTAGTTCTGACTTCCAGGTGTCACATTCTCTTCAAATCTTTTTTTGATTGGTGTAGATACCTGTGGAGGGCGTAGCTGTAGCCCTCTTTATTACCAGTATCGGAGTATATACTACTACCTGTCTGCCCTCAGGTGCTTTCTTTTCCAGTGATCTTATTTCTGCGTATTCAGTGAGCAAATGATTGAAATGGCTTAAAGTGGCCTGGCTATTACTTCCCTATTCATATTAAAACACTTTGTTTTATTTTATTTGAGAGTTCAATTTATTTCCTTTCATAATCTCTCTACCTTCTCAAATCTTCTCTTCTCATACTCCGAGCCTGTAGTTACTTTCTGTTCCCATTTATTTTGACCTTTTTGCATTGCAAAACAAAAAAAAACCCTCCAGTTCTGGAAATCAGGCTTGTTTAGTTTTACTTTAATTGTCAGATCCAGTCAGTGTCTGGTACCTATGTAGTATGTTCTAGTAAATTTTTGCAGTAGAGACTAAAAAAAAAAAAGAGAAAGAAAAGAAAAGAATGGTGTGAAAATTTAAGAAAAGGATCCTCTTGTTACTGTCATCGCTGTCACAGATAAAAATACTGCCTTTACCCTGGAATATGTTAGTCCTCTCTTGGAGGAAATGAAACCCTAAAGGTTGACTGTGGTCTCTGCAGCCACCCAGTCCTGTATTCTGAGAGCCCCCTTGGCTTTTCCAGTCCATCAGATTTAGTTTGTTTAGAAGAAAATAAATAAACATGTAATGTATGAAAGTTAAGTGAGACTGTCTTGGCAGTTATAAATTAATAAACATTTACGGTACGGAAGTGGTGTGAATTTTAAGAGGATGTTAACGAAACAAGATATGGCTTTAAAGAGGGCCTGAAGATAGGTGGGAAAACTGAAATTCTTGAAACATGTATTTTATGGACCGAACGCCAAAGTATGACTAAATAAAGTAGGACTTAAGAGAATAGACAACAATATTGGAAGAAAATGAGAATTGTGGTAGAGTTTGAATAGATGAAGAAGGGAAGCCATTTAAGTTGGCAATATTACAGCAAGGACAAATTAAATCAGAAGGGAATTAGGAGTTTGACACTTGAATGTTGGCGTGGATAAGAGCATTAGGAAGAAGGACTCTTGTTTACATTTCTGCAAATCTCTTTAAATCCTGGTTTATTAGAAGAAAGGCTGGTTTCTTATGTTGGCTTCTACATTCAGGTTTTTGGGGTATGTTATTTTGGTCGAAATGTATGAAGAAAATACAGCTGCAATGATAGGTAGTCAGAAACAGAGGAGCATTTTTCAGATAATTGTGGATGTTTTTTGATCCTACACCAAAGCCCAACAAGTGGAAGATTCTTAAAGGTCAGTTGCAAGGTGGAATCTGAAACCCTATCAATGAGCTTTTCATTCATTGTTACATTAAAATCCATTAGCCCATCTTGCACTTTGAAAGGATCTTTTACCCATGCATGGTTTTGTACTATGATGCTATGGCCACTTAGAAAATATTGGTTTACTGAGTTATGCACATCTTTTAAATATGGATACATTTCATTACACAATATCAAAATATCACATTTCATTAAATTGCAACTGATCTTGTCAGAAATGTCTCTGAAAATTCTAAGTATTGAAGAGTTGTCAAGCTTATAGTTGTGGATGTAAGTCTTTCAAACTCCAGTTTTCATTTGAAAGTTTGACTCTTATCATTAATCAAATACTGTCAGTTTTTCTTTAAGAGATAGGTTCCCTTTGTTCATTTGACAAAATCTGCCAAAAAGCGAAGTCTGAATAACCATAGTTTGACGATTGTTCTTTCAAGTAAAAATGGTGTTCCTTGAAGAGTGGTTGTTTTAGCTTTTAACTCTAAACTTTTCTTGGAGATGACCTACATCTTGGTATGCAACAGAAGGACTTTATGTATGCATGCTTCATATTTTACCCCACAAAGTATTAAAAAGAGTCAAGGGTTGAATTTCAATAAAATGAATTTATACTGCTTTGGGAAGCACCGTCTTAATTTAAATTGTCCCTTTTTGAGCTTGTGGTGAAGAATACAATGATTACTGGTGCAGTTTGGTGCCACTGTCTTGAGTCACGCTAATGTACCAGTAGTTTTACCCACTGTGGCTATGAACCATGAGTGCAAATGCCAGCACAGTGAAAAAGGCAAATAGCATCTTTGTATTTATTATGAGAATAGTTTTCAACTTCTGAATCTCCAGAAAGGATTCTGGGGACTACCAGGGCCTAGGGATTTCACACTTGGAGAACTTCTGCCAGTCATCTACTAAAGATTCAGGACATGGGCCAGGTGTGGTGGCTCACACCCGTAATCCCAGCACTTTGGGAGGCTGAGGCAGGTGGATCATTCGAGCTCAGGAGTTCGAGACCAGCTTGGGCAACATGGCAAAACCCCATCCCTACTAAAAATACAAAAAATTAGCCGGACCAGGTGGCAAATGCCTGAGGTTCTATCTACTTGGAAGGCTGAGGTGGGAGGATTGCTTGAGCCCAGGAGGTGGTTCTCGCAGGCAGTTGCAGCAAGCTCTGATAGTGCCTGAGCAACAGAGGGAATCCCTGTCTCAAAAAAAAAAAAAAAAAAAAAAATCAGGACATGAATGTTGTCTGCTTTTGTCATCTTGGGCAAAAAGAATGGACTTCAGCTTCTTCCCACATAAAGAATTGTTAGATTTGGTCCCTCATGCATGTAATCTAACTATGTCTGTCTTTTCTATATCAAATCTAAACTGTTCTGTCTAGCTCCAATGTCCTCTGTAATTTGGCTCACACCACCTTTAAATTGTATTTGTCATTACAGTAGGAGACTCTCCGTTTTTGTAAAGCAAATTTATTCTTGTTCCTTAAAGTGTGGGCATCATCTGGGAACTTGTTAGAAATACCAACTATGTGACCCCAGTCCTACTGAATCAGAATCTGCAGTTTAATAAGATCCCAGACGGTATATCATGTATTCTCATTAGTTTAATAAAGATTCATCTCTTCTCATTCCTTCTTCTGCCCCAGTGGTTCGCAACCTTGACCTTTCATCAGAACCACCTGGGGAGTTTTAAAAATCTCTGTTCAGACCAGTTTATTTTGAATCTTTTGGGAGAAGCTGGGGGGACTTTTATAATTGTTAACAGAATTATATATTTATTTCTTTTATCAAATGCTCTAATAACTACTATTTGTTAAGTAGTTACTATGGCCAGCCACTATGGTAAACCCTTTATATCTCATTTAATCTTTAAAGCTTGTTATGAAAGAACTATTCCTATTGATGAGGATACTTGGTTTTATTTTATATTGTAGTAATAATTGATAACATGAACAAAAAGCTCTTTAAGGTTATCAGTTTTAAAACCATTATAAAGGGATTCTGAGACCAAAAAATTTGGGAATCTCTGGCTTAACTCTTCTGCCTGGTTGCCCTTTCGCAGCTTGTCTGCCTGATATTGGCAAAATTCTTTGTAGTAATACCTACAAAATTCAGGTTTTCTTTCATTCTTGAAATCCAATAAAAAACATTTATTGGAATATTTTGTGTCAAATACTGCTAAGGATAGAAAGATGAGGCTCAGCTTTTAAAGACTTCAAAATAAATTTGGGGAATGTTAAAAATATTTGTGAATTCCTTTAAAAACAAGCTCATTCAAATCTTAATATAAAGGGACATTTTATGAAAAATAAATTTCCCAAAATCAAGAATTTGAGCCTAGATGCTTTTTGTTTGTTTGTTCCAAAGTCTTAACTCCCTTCTCAATTTTTTTTTGCTGTTCTGTCACCAGCTGAAAGACCAGCAGTATGAGGGAATGACATGCAGCAACTTGGATGGGTTTTAAATGCTCTGTGCCAAATGACACAAGCCAGACTGAAAAGACAACATAGTATGTGAAGGCATTATGATATTCTAGAAAGGGACAGAAAACAGATAGTGGTTGTCAGGGTGATACTGGTGGGCTGAGGGAGATCCCCAAACACTGGTGGGATCTCAACCCCAGCTGGTTTTCAGGTGCTTGACACTGTCATGAGAACACATTAAAGGGCAAGTCAGAAAATAGTGCAAGTATGGAGATTTATTAAAGGGAAAGTACACACTCTTGTGGGCATTCTTAAGAGAGAGACGCTCAATGAGGTTTGGAGTTTCTACATTTATGGGTTTCTTTATCCAAGGGATATATTCATGAAAATTCCTGGAAAAAGGTAGAGACTTTTTGAAATTATGGTGCCACCCATTTTTGCATCAAATATGAGTGGTCTCAGAACTGCCATGGTGCTGGTAGGTGTGTGATTGAGCATGTTAATGAGCATATAATGAGGTCCTAGGTGAAACCTAGGTCAAATCCATTGCCATGTTGGGTCCAGTGGGTCTTAACCAGCTTGGTCCACACCCTGGTTTTTCAGGGTCTTATTAGCCCTTAGCCCCTAGTCATGAAAACGGCTCTGTGGAATTTTTTAGGAGTTCCTACAAAGGGTCAAAGGAATTTTCTGAGATGATGGAATTGTTCTTGTATCTTGCTTGTGGTAGAAGAATTTGGAAGCTGCAAAACCAGTTTGGTGGTTTTATTAGTTTCATTTAGGCCCTGGAACTGCAGGATGCTCAGAAAGAAAGTAACCAATGAATCTGTTGAAAAAGTGAAAAGAAAAAAACAAGGCTTTTAAAACTACCAGAGCTCTTATTTAGAACAATGGTTCTCAAGTTTGGCTCAGATTGAAATCCTCAGGCATTTAAAGTACTGATGCTTGGAGGAGGCTTATGCTCCATTGATAGAATTGATTGGGGAATGTAGGGAAGGTATAAGGGTACTTAAAAGTTACCCAGGTGATTCTGACTCACAGTCAAGGCTGAAATAACATAGTCTCTGTCTGCAATTCCCTGTAATTGAGTAGAGTAGAAGTTCTCAAAATATAGCTCCGGACCAGCAGCAGCCTCACCTGGGGAAGCTGTTACAAATGCAGATTTTCTGGCTCCACTCCAGACTTCTTGAATCTGAAACTCGGAGGATGGGGCCTAGCAATCCATGCTTTAACAGTTCCTCCAGGTAATTCCGATGCCTCCTAAAGTTAGAGAATCATTAAAGTCCTATGCACTGTGTTAGTCCCTAGAATGGTGTTGGTAACTATTAAGAGTACCTGGCTAACTAGAGATGTCAACCTCTATCTCTGAGTGAACTTTTTTCACTGGAAAGCTCCTTGCTGTGCACATGTATCCATTTTCAGCATTGACTTTTCTTTGTTTAATGCTCTTTAAAATTTAAATTATAATATGATAATTGCATGGCGATTACTGGCAGTTAATCTTTAGCTCAATGCTATTCTTGAACTGTCAGAACAGGTCAGAAGTTAATTTTCATCCAAGTTATATTCTGTAATGCTTCAGTAATAAGCCTAAAATAGAACAGCTTCTACTCATATCTCCTTTAGGTTGGAAAAATCTACAGGGAAAAAATATTCAAGGCTAGTTATAACTGTGATGTGTGAAACCATTAATGTTTGCACTGTGTTGGGTGAGGAAATATGTAACTGAGCACTGTTATTAATAGTATTGTGTGTGTATGCCTACGTGATGTACTGCATACATGAAATAGGCTTTGAAAATTATACATCTTGGACAAGTTTTTAAGGATGGTAGGCTTACCTTACACAACTAAAATAACCTTTACTTCACATAAGATTTCCTGCTAAAAACTTTCAAACATGTGCAAAAGTCAGAGAAAATATATTGGGTAGTAACAAACATCTCTTTTTGTTCTATTTCAGGCTATTTTGGCATTCTGCTGGATATATGTTCGTAAATACCAAAGTCGGCGGGAAAGTGAAGTTGTCTCCACCATAACAGCAATTTTTTCTCTAGCAATTGCACTTATCACATCAGCACTTCTACCAGTGGATATATTTTTGGTTTCTTACATGAAAAATCAAAATGGTACATTTAAGGTAAATATAATCTTACTTTGCAGATTTTTTTTTTCCTTTCAAATTTCTGGCACAGTGAGCAGTCCGATATATATTATGTTTTATTTTTGTGTCTGGGAATGAATGAGAATGGAAATACAACATAGAGGCTGAGAATGTGACATCTAACCTGATAGATTAGAAGTAGACTTTCAACTGACATAAAAACTATTAATTCAGCAACCTTGCAAATGCTTCAAGTAATCATAATAGGTTATATATTTTTTGCTGCTCATAACTCCCTTGAAGCTTATTTGATTTGCATTAATGCAATAAGTACATAATTTAGAAGGGCTTTTGTTAGTGGCAGATGGGGATCCTAATCTCTGTTTCATATTGAGTCCTTTGAGTCAGTATGGTGTAGTGAATTAGGCTGGCAATTATAAGACCTGAGTTCTAGTCTTGACCCTTAACTGTCTAGCTGCGGACCTTGAGCCAAACCACTTAACTTTTCTGGACTTGAGGTTCCTCATTTTAAAATTGAAGGGTGTGGACTAAAGGTTTCTGAGTTTCCTTTAAATTATGCAAATTACTTTTAAGTTTCTTACTAGCTTAAGCTTCTATGACTCAGAAACTGTCGTTATAGTTCGTTGTAGCCCCAGTATTTAGCTTTAGTACTTAAATATTTGAATGAAATAGTATTTCAATTATCTTAATAATGCATGATTACAAAATAACTTCTTGAATTGGGCTAAATTGGGTAAATAATTTTTATTTTATTTTATTTTATACTTTATGTATTTTTTTATTTTATTGAGATAGAGGCTCACTCTGTTGCCCAGGCTGGAGTACAGTGGCATGATCTCGGCTCACTGCAACCTCTGCCTCCTGGGTTCAAGCGAGTCTCGTCCCTCAGCCTCCCAAGTAGCTAGGAATACAGACGGGCAGCCACCATGCCCAGCTAGTTCTTTTTGTATTTTTAGTAGTGGTGGGGTTTCGCCCTGTTGGCCAGGCTGGTCTTAAACTCCGGGCCTCAAGTGATCCACCTGCCCAGCCTCCCAAAGTGCTGGGATTGCAGGCATGAGCCACCATGCCTGGTCCAAATGGGGTAAATAATTTGAAAATATTTTTGTAGTTAGGTTTAAATTTATTCTGATTACTGTGGCAATTAGATATATTCTGATTGCTATGAAAACCACATTTTTTTCCTGTACACCATTTATTTAGCAGTTTTTAATTGAGCACTTAGTGTGTGCCAAACATTATAATGTTATGAAGATAGTAACTAACATCTATTGACTATTTGCTGTGTGTCAGACTCTATTTTAAGTGGTTTACATTTAGTAGCTTCCCTTGATCTCTCAGACAATCCTGTGAGATAAGTAGTTTTATCTATGGTTTTCATGGGTGAAAAATCAAGATTCAGAGAGGTGAAGTAACATAGCCTGTAAGTGCTGCAGTTGGGATTTGAAGCTCCGCAGTCTGGTTCCAGAGAGCTTTGTTCATGAGGTTTCTTGGGAAGATGGTGTCTAAACAAGGAAGAGATACTTGCAGGTAGCTCAGTAAATGGGGTATCTACCAGTGAGTCTACATTTTTTCAAAATACAAACTTAATTCACATTTTATATTTTGGGTTGAAACATTTCTAGAGAAGATGACTAATTTTACTGGTATCGTTGGGTTTTCTCTGCTTTTTATTATTGGGCAAGAAGAATGCACTTTTAATAATGTTAGACATAGATAATTAAATGGTTGATTGTAACATTATGAGGTCATTTTCTCTGAGAAATAAGTGTCATTTTAGAATTACATTCTATAAAAACGTTTAATTTCTTGTGACTCTGTATATAGCTGTGTTTCTTAGATAAAATAATTTGACATTTTCAGAATTTCTGGATATTCTTTTTATTTTAAAATAGTGTAGTGTAATTCCCCATGTACAGTACGTAATTATAAATTTCTAGGATATTTTTCTCTTTAAAAGCTGTTACTTTTAAGTAGATAATGATATATATGTATATGCATGTATTATAATGTCTGGAGGTAATATAATTATCCCTGGTATAATTATTGTTTGAATTGGATATTTTTTTAGTTTAGAATTGAGGGTGTTTGATTTATTTAGATTTTGTAGGAAAACATTTCATCTTTAAATTTCTAAAGTATTTTCATGAAATTATGAACTTTCTATTAGATTAAGTATTGTTTTGGGCCCATGCTTAAATTAGTGGTCACTTCCTGGGAAATAGGTTTGTTTTGTTTCTTTGTTTTTGATATTTAAATCTATGAGATTGCATTATACTTGTTTGAGCAAGATTTTAAGAATGCATTCACTAAAGAAGCAAAAATATTAACTATAAAAATTTAGGGTGCTTGTTTTAATACATGTGCCCTAAAATAAAAAATATGACTGTAGTTAACACACTTACTTTATATTTATTAAATCTAAATGTTACACCAATATTTAGAAGGAGAAAAAAATCTGTTAAAGTTTTTCCCTCTACTTTTTAAAACTTTGTTTCATTATTAGGATATTAGTTATTCATCAATTGTTGGTTCTCTTTTTTTTCTCCTTTTCTTTTTTTGAGACAGAGTTTCACTCTTGTTGACAAGTTTGGAGTGTGATGGTGCGATCTTGGCCCACTGCAACTCTGCCTCCCGGGTTCAAGCAATTCTCCTGCCTCAGCCTCCTGAGTATCTGGGATTACAGATGCACACCACCATGCCCGGCCAATTTTTTGTGTTTTTAGTAGAGATGTGGTTTCACCATGTTAGCCAGGCTGGTCTCGAACTCCTGACCTCAGGTGATCCACCCGCCTTGGCCTCCCAAGATGCTGGGAGCCCCTGTGAGCCCCTGTGCCTGGCCTTTCCTACTTTTCATTACTAAGTTGTCTCTAGTTCTGTTTGTTTTTAGCTTAGATAATGTATCAGTTTTTTCTTGGTGATTTTGTTGATACCTTGAAACATTCTGTGTGTCTGTATTTTCCCTTCTCATTTTGGGGGGCTTGGTGAGGATTAGTGCAATTCATGAGTTTTTATTTGAAACTGGACTATTTGCTGATTCTCAAAGAGTAGAACTGAAAAAAATTTTGAAAACATTTTCCAAACTCTAGACAATAGTTTTTTCCCAAAGTTATTGCTGAATTCAGGTGCCTAGTGAAAGATAAGTTTAAGTGTTTAAGAATTAATCCTTCAAACTTCATGCCACGATTATAAATGTAGTCAGAGTAAAAAGGATGCCAACGTGGTTTTAGTCTATTCCAACCTTATTTGTAAAGATAAAAGTACAAGTTGACATTGTTTTCCATGATGAATGCTAACGTATACTATATTTACAATGTGCATTTGAAATTCCTAAATGAATATATGCATTTTCTAACTTTCTCTGCTTCCACCTCAAATATTTTGAAGCCTCTCTCTAATTATGGACTTGGCTTGCAAAGTATAATGATTTGAAACTCCACATATCAATGATTGCTAACATTTTTCTTAAAAACAGAAGGTGCCCAGACTTTTCTGTGAGCAGGCAGTCATTGCTAGTTTCTTTATTTTTGTTTTAGTTACCCTCCTATAATTTTCTCTGCCTTCTTATGGCAGGGGTATGTTATAATGCCTGAGTTGTTTCTGTTGACCTTTCTTTCAACATATGGCATTATTAATAATTTTAGCTAGATAATTTGTTTCTAGCTTTTTTCTAAAATAATTAACTTTTTAGATAACAAAAAAGAACCTTTTAGAGTACAGCTGGAAGTGCTCTCTTTAACAGTCTTTGATAGTTGGCCAATAACATTGGATGGGGATATACATGAAATATACTGATCCAATGGAAAAAAAAAAGAAATTGACACTAATATGAATAAATATTCTTTCTTTTATACAACATGTAAAAATAAAAAATTTAGTTAATATTAAGGTATGTCATGAAAACGTTTAATGTTTTGGTGTTTGTTCACATCTTACACCTGTTCCCTAATTATGAATATCTTTATGGCCTGTTATTAGATGTCTGAGCTGAACTCTACTGCTCCCTCATTCCTAATTTCAGCTGGTGGGAATTGTATCTTAGAACTTTGTGCTTTTTATTGAACCTTAATTATGTTTATTTACTTAATACTAAGTATGTAGTATGTGCCTGACAATTGTAGTTACTGGAGATTGTTAAGGCAAATGAGGTTGTTTTTCTTATGGAGCTTAATCTGCAATGCTAGATCAATAGTCAACAAATAAAATAAGGTCACTTTATAGTGATAAATTCTATGAGGAAATATAACAGATTGATATGAGAGTCTAGTCAGGTTATGAGTGTTTTGGAGAGGGGCAAAGCTGCTGAGGTTTCTTGCCATGATACCTGGATGAGGAGCCAATCTAGTAAAGAGCCAGAGGGAGAGAGCCTTTAGGGAGAGGCAGCAGCAAATATAGAGGTCTTTAGGCCGGGATGAACTTGGCTTATTTGGCTGATGTGTGTTGTTGAGGGTTTTGCTTTGGTAAAAGCTGAGATCCAGAATAAGGCAGGGGCCAGCTTGTTTATGACTTCTAAGTCATATTAATAAGTTTAGATTTTCTCCTAACTGCAATATGAAGTTAATGAAGGTAAAAGATAAAGGTGATTTGGGCTAGAGTGGTGCTAGTGGAGAAAAATGATTAAAATTGGCATGTATTTTAGAGGTAGAGCTGCTGGGATTTGCTTATAGATTAGATATAGGGGGACAGGTGAAGGAAAAAGAAAATTGGAGCACCGATGCCTAGGTTTTTGTATACCTTAGAGAAATAGGGAAACCTGGAGGAATAAGAGGGCATATGCATGTGTGCACGGGCAAGTGAGGGGGTGTAGAGAAAAGAGTTATAGTTTGGACAGGCTACCTTCAAAGTGTGTACTGTACTATCTATCCAGGTGGAGGTGTTACATAGGGAGTTGAAGCTCTGTGAAGAGCTTAGTGCTGGAGAGAAGTATTTGGGAAGCAACATATGGATGAAATCTACAGTTATGGACTGACTAGGAGCCGGGAAGACTGAGTAGTCAGAGAAGCCTTGACATTGGACCGAGGACTGGAGTTCTCTGTTGTGTAGAAGGTCAGCTGAAGGGGAGAATCTGCAACGTGAGAGATAAGAAAAACAGAAGAGGGAGGCTTTATGGAAATCAGAATAATGTGTTTTGGAAAGAAAGAATGATAGCTTTTTCCAGTGGTGTTGAGAGGTGAAGTGAGTTGGGTAGAGAAGTGATTGGTGGCTTTGGTCAGTGGTGACCATGAAGAATAATTTCAGCAGAACAGTAGGGTGGTTAGGTTGAGTGGGTTAGATATGAACAGAGAAGTAAGGAAGAAGTGATAAGGAATGCTGACAACTTTTCAGGAAGTTTTTGTTCTCTAGGAAAGTGAGAAGAGGAGTTAGTAGAGGTGTTTTTATTTGTGGTGGTTGTGTATCTCTTTGTGTTTAGTAGTTACTAGAATTTGTATACTTTAGAATTCAGTAGAGTGAGAGGAATTTTTGAGGCATGAGAAGGTATCATTGCAGGTGCAGTTTCCTCCAGAGGACGAGGGTTCTCAAAGTGAAAGGGTTGGGTGTAATAGGAGTATGGGTACTTCAGAGTAAGGAAGGTCTAGAATTTGGATACAAATGGAGGTAGGTTTTAGATTTAATAGTAAGTTGAGTGAACTGTCTTGGGACTACATATTATTTTAGAGACCTCTAAGTCAGTATTTCTCAATCATGGACATTTTGCCTTGGGTAATTCTTTGTTATGGGGGCCTGCCCTGTGAATTGTAGGTGTTTAGTGGCATCCTTGACTTCTTAACTCCTAGATTCCTGTAGCATACTGACTCTGCCCACCATGTCTCTGGACATTGTCAGATGCCCCATGGGGATCAAAATGGCTCCTGAATGAGAACCACTGTTTTTATGGTGAAGTTACCAGGTAAAAGTGAGGAGAATCATGTTGGAGTTTTGGGTTATGCAGCAGGTTTCAAAAGTCAACTTGAAAAATGGGGAATGGAATTTACATATGCCACCAATTACATTTTTGTTCTATGGAATTCATATCCTTGTCTTCTGAAATATTCTTCTTTAATATTCTTTATTTAGTTCTTGATTGTCTCACATTCCTTTTGTGTCCTAAATGACTCTGAAGTTCCTTTTAGTTTCTACTTTGAGAGGCAATAGTTTATAAAACATATCAGGGTCATAGTGGTTCCCAAAATTAGAAGGAAAGTTTTACAAACTAAGCTCTCTTGACAATACATCAAGTATCTTGGAGGCAAGAGAGTATGTAAAAGCCAAATACACTAATAGTACTTGAGTGATATTGTATATCTTACACATATTTGTAGCTTTAAAATAGTAACAGCAATACTCTTGTTGCTACAAGAACTGGTGAGGCAAAAGATCCTTATAGAGTAAAAGATGCTAGATTTCAATGATTCTTTTGCTTCACGTTAACCTTCAGACTTTGTATTTTTAATATTTTTTTTTTGAGATTGGGATTTTGTCCAATTTCAAACTAATTTTTAAGTGATTCTCAGTGGAGACATTACTACCTCCTGGGGCTGTCTTGGAAATTGGTGGGAAGTTTGTATAAGTAAAAAAAGATGGTTGTCATTATTCTCTGGCCCATTGATACATTGTTCTTAATTTGCTTATCTTCAAAATCCTTTTAGGCCAGGCACGGTGGCTCACACCTATAAACCTAGAGGCTGAGGCAGGCAGATCACTTGAATCCAGGAGTTCAAGACCAGCCTGGGCAACGTGGTGAAACTCAGTCTCTACAAAAAATACAAAAATTAGCTGGGCATGGTGGTGTGCACCTATGGTCCCAGCTACTTGGAAACCTGAAGGTGGGAGGATCACCTGAATCCGGGAAGGTCTAGACTGCAGTGAGCCATACTCATGCCACTACACTGCAACCTGGGTGACAGAGTGAGACCCTGTCTCAAAAACAAAACAAAACCCACAAAAATACTTTTAAACTTCTGTTTTGATATAGAAGCAATCACTAAAGAAGCACAGCTCTTAGGAATTGAAGCTTTGATTATGTACATGCTCATTTGGATACTTGAATCATTGATGGAAAAATTTTCAATGATTGTACAGAATTCTCCCCAATGCTTTCCCATTCTGTGTGGTAAGCACTACTTACATTTTCTTTTCATTTTTTCTGTAATATGTTTGGGTATTTCTTTCATTACTTTTGTTAGACAAAGATTACATGTGTTAAAACTTTTGGTTGTGATTTGTTCTGTTTCCCCCTACTCAAAAGTGCTTCATGGATATCTATCTATGCTAGTTTATATAGGTCTCATTGTTTTTAATATCAACATGTTATTCTATGTTATGCATGTACAGTAGTAAATTTTACTATTTCTATTCTGGCATTTAGATTGTCTCCAGTTTCATTTTTCTTTTAAAAAATATTTTAAATGACCCTACACCGAATATTGTTGGGTAAAGGACTCTTGGGCAAAAACCAATAAATGTTGCTTGGTACAGGCTCTAATTTACCCTGACAAGGGTCAGCAAGTGCTCAGGTTCTTTTGTAACTTACTTATGCAAAGAGAGAAACTCTCCCAAAGTGCAGGTGCTTTAGTAGAGGTGTATAACCTCCTAGTGTTTTCTCTCTCTCTTTTTTTTTCTTGAGACAGAGTCTTGCTCTGTTGCTCAGGCTGGAGTGTAGTGGCATGATCTTGGCTCACTGCAACCTCTGCCTCCCAAGTTAAAGCAATTCTCATTCCTCATCCTTCCAAGAAGCTAGAATTACAGATGTGTGCTACTACGCCTGGTCTCAAACTCCTGACCTCAAGCAATCCATTTGCCTCAGCCTCCTAGAGTGCTGGGATTGCAGATGTAAGCCACCATACCTGGCCTCTTAAGAATGGTCTTGCAGGTAGAATAAACACCTTGGATTTGGGTGCCAAGGAATATGAGCTGAGTAGGTACAAGTGGTTCACTGAGTGCTAGGACATACCAATTGCTGAACACCTGGAGACTTTGGGTCTCTTAGTCCCATGAGTAATGGAATTTGGTACAGCTCCTGCTGTGTGGGAAAGGAAGGGCCCACTTGGGCTAGCTTATCACTTTGTAAGAGCTCCTGAGGTAATTTGTTGGACAAGTAGTATTGTCCAATGAATAAAATACCTATGTACTAATATCCATCCTAATTTGTGTGAATATTTTTAGGATCGATTCAATAAAGAATGTCTACATGGTAGACTATCTTAATGTGTAGCAGATGGTTTTCCCTCCACATTTTGACATTACTGGATGCTATTGTTTTAAATTTTGCCAATAGGTAGGTGAAAGATTATATAATAGTAGATTTTCACGTTTTATTAGTAAAGGATAGTAATTGGGAAATTCCTCCTTGTTGGTCTTTTTCAAATGTATTTGTGGCCCTAGCTTGTTTTTTCAGATGATTTTTAGAATGAATATGTTAATATACTCTACCTCCTAGCACAACGGGATTTCGAAATACACTCTACCTCCTAGCACAATGGGATTTCGATTGGTGATATATATTAATTTGAGATTAATTTGGATAGCAGTTGGTATTTACAATCTTTATATGTGGGAACAGGTGACTTTCCATTTATTAAATTTTTTATATCCTATGATTTATTTTTTATATGATTAACATACATTTTTCTATTTGGCCTATTAAGGGTTTGTTTGTAGAAGTAAGTTTGGATTTTCTACGTTTTTTGATCTTTTAGACGTTTGTCAGCAAGAAATTTGTAGCTACTCATTGCTAGAGGTGTTTATGGGCAAAAAAGGAGAAAAGAAAAGAAAACTCCTAAATTATCTTAAGAGAATTAAATATTGATGCCCCTTTTTAAGAGCACTTGTAGAATGTTGACACTGACTTGAGCTCTTAAAGTGTTTATAAAAAATTGACCTGGATTCTGAATTGTACTTTATACTTAATAGCAGTGATAAGTCCTTTAGATTCTCCAGGTTTAATTTTTCACATGCACAGAATTTAGAATATAGGCCAAAAGACTTGACATTGTACCTCAGTTCTGACATTATAGGGTATAGTTTTTTTTTTCTATTGGAAAAGATTAATTTGAATTATATTTTCTAAGTTTAGTAATTTGAACAACACTTATGTGGGATGAATGCAAAGGAGATTAGACTGATTTTTCTTGTAGGTTTTTTAAAAAAATATATAATATGCTCAAATATGTTCTTTCTGAAGTACAAATCAGGTTTGTTAATCTCTCCTTAAAATTCATCACTATTTTCCATTGCCTTTAGGACAAAGTCCAAAATACTTAGCATGACTCACAAGCCCCTGACATATATGTCCTTCTCTTCCCTCTCTCCATCTGCTTTCTCTTACCTTTCCAAAAGCTCAGTTGAATCTATATTTAGCTTCTTGAAGTTATTTTTCAAACGTTCTGTGTACGTTCTTTTCTCCCTTCTTTCCTTCCTACTATTTTCTCTGTTTCCCTGAGATCATTCTAATCCTCCCAGGATCAGAAGCCATTCCTGATCTTCAGTCTGAGTTAGGTGCCTTTTGTCTTTGTGTTTTCCCAGAACTGTGTTGTCTTATCTCAGCATTTACATACTGAAATTTGTCTGTTGTCTGTCTCTCACTTATTGAAGGCATAGATTGTTTTTATTTGAGTGGATAGATTTTGGAAGTGATATTCAGTTGTATTAAAACCTAACTCTTAATTGTTAGGCAAATGGATGTTTCATTAATATTTCTATTGTTTCCTTTTATCCTAGGACTGGGCTAATGCTAATGTCAGCAGACAGATTGAAGACACTGTATTATATGGTTACTATAGTAAGTATCTTTCAGTTTCTTTTCCTATTGGGACTGCTAACCAAAATATTGATACGGCTCCGATGGGTGGAGAACCCCAGGTTCTTCCTCTTGGGTCGAATTAGAAAAAAACCGACATGGACACATGTGGAGCAGTTTTAAGGAGCAGGGCGTTTAATAGTCAAGAAAGAAAGGGGAAGAAAGAAAGAAGAAACTCTCCTGTGCAGAGACAGAGGGAGGCGACTTCAAAGCTAAGAGAGGGAACCCCACCTGCCATGGATACCAGTCAGGTATATGAAGAGGCTGGAGGAGTCAGTGTTTGATTTGCATAGGGCTCAGGGGATTGGTTTGACCAGGCATGTCATTCACATAGCCTGCAAAAAAAAAAAAAAAAAAGGGCCCTCCCACCCTAGCCTGTTAATATGCAAATACAGGGCACCATGATGTTCTACACAGGTGGGGATATGTGGGGGCAGCCATGTCGCCAGGAACATGTGGGGCAACGGCAAGAAGAAGAGTGCGGGTATTGCCAGGTTTGGGTAGATCCAGTTTCTAGTGGCCTGCATTTGCATGTCAAAGGGTGCCGGCCTGTCTCTAAGAGCCAGGGAAGAAACTTTTCTGGAGATGCTTTAAAAAATGAAAACTTAAGGACCCTTTTCCTCTCTATCTGCCTAAAATAATTTCTTAATAATTCCTACAATATAAAGCTACATATAAACTTTTAATTTGGAAACCACATAGGAGATTTCTGTTTTCTACAACAGGAATAAATAATATGTATTCATTCTCAAAATCCTGAAACTTCTTTAACCTACTTTGCTTCACTTAGATTCACTTTATATCTCTTCTTTGTAGTGGTTAAATCAAGTTACTTTAAATCTCACCTCTCCTTTTATCATTATCAATTTCCCGCTCCTGTTTTCTTGGTTTTAAATTTCAGTTTTCTAAAAATTTTTTCTCAGTATTGCCATTAGTAGACTTCAGTCTCTGGGGAATGTATCCTGCCAACTTCATTGTTCTCCACAGAGTCATTTTAATCCCGGACTTATGGTTGCTTGGCTCCTCCTCCCTCCCTCCCTCAAACATCTTTCTCAGTATTAGATTATAAAAGCTTTATAATAATATGAAAGCTAAATGTTTCCAAAATTTTTTCTTTGAATAAACATGAAACTTGTGTTTTATTTAAAAAAACTGTGATTGTTGAGTTAGGAGAGGGATGTCATTTTTTTCAGCAATGAAGTAAGATGCTGAATAAGATTTCAGTAGGACATTAAATGGGAAACTGAAAAAAAATCTACAAAAGTTTCTGTGGAGGGGAAATGTTTTTGAGTTCTATTGAATTTTTTTTTTTTTTTTTTTTTTTTTTTGAGACTGAGTCTCGCCCTGTTGCTCAGCCTGGAGTGCAGTGGCACAATCTCAGCTCACTGCAGCCTCTGCCTCCTGGGTTCAAGCAATTTTCCTGCCTTAGCCTCCTGAGTAGCTGGGATTACAGGCGCACACCATCACGCCCAGCTAATTTTTGTATTTTTTAGTAGAGATGGGGTTTCACCACGTTGGCCAGGCTGGTCTTGAACTCCTGACCTAGTGATCCACCCACCTTGGCTTCCCAAAGTGTTGGGATTACAGGCGTGAGCCACCGGGCCCGGCCCCATTGAGTTTTAATTCAGCTGCTTTGCTCTTTTGCCTTTATTCTGATCTAAAATCTGTAGGCCCCATGAAATTTTATTTCTTTCAGGTAGATTTTAGAAAGAATTTATGAAATTTCAAAATATAATATTTCTGATGAATATATTAAGTATAATAAAACACAATTTTGACCTATTAAAATTTTTGAAATGGAGCTATATTAAGTAGAATGTTGCCTTTTTAGTATAATAAAATATAAATTACCTCTACACAGAGTTTTAGGGGGGAAGTCTGTCTCCTGTATGACGCTAAAGTATAGTCATTCTTTAGAACATATGATGAGATAAGCCAGTTTATACATTTGTGAAGTCAAGGTCTACGATCTCTCTTATCATTGAACCTAGAGGCCATTGGACTAATCCTTTGTAACTAAGTTCACAAAAGACTTGTAAACTGGAATGTTAATTCATGCAGCCTTTTTCAGTTTGTTCTATGGAGAGAATTAAACCTACAGAAAAGAATTTTAGTAAGTATTTTTCTTAGTCCTCCCAAAGGTAGTGTGTCCTCAGTCCACTGAAGGATAATGTGCCCTTAGTATCATTTTAAATGCCTGGGAGGTAAGTTAATCATTACAAACAGTAGATGTCTTGGGACTTAAGGCTTGATTTTCTGTAGAACTTAAGTTATAGTGAGAAATATAATGGCTTTGACTAGGATAGTTGAGACACTGATCTAGGAAAAAAATTTGTTTGAAAAGCCAGATTATGAATTGAAAAATTTGTTTTATGACTATGGAATTAAAACAGGAAAATTTGATTGGATAATATGAATAGTTGTTGTTACAATATTAGTCATCTTCATCTCAGCTATGGCTAATAGGCCTTTGGCCCTGACCCAGAGGTGACGTACAGCTAGGAGCCTGAAAGGATTCCACAGCTTCGAACGTAGTTACTATCCTGAAGCTCAGCTATTTCTTTTGAAATGCTAGATACTATCTAACTGCCCTAATAGGAAGCATCTAATATGTCTTCTCCTGGATTTTGAGAACTATACAGAGTTCAAATAGAAAACACAGTTTTTATCCATCTCTTCTGTCAGATGCTAAGGTCATCTAATCCTTCCTATCCCTCCTAATGTATCAGTGTATTTTCATTATCTAACCTTGCCAGGCGCTGTGTATGACTTTTACATTCAGCATCTTAACTAGTTTTCATGAATGCCCTCTCTACCTTTTGTGTGTGTGTGTGTGTGTGTGTGTGTGTGTTTTCTACCTTTCACAGAAGAAGAAATTGATGTGGAGAGATGTTGAAGATCACTTTGTTAGTGAATGGCAAAGCCCAAAGTGGTTCTTATTTCCTCAGCTGTAGCTTCTTACTGTTAAGTGAGCTGCCTTTTGAGAAATAGTACTGGAGATGTTACCTATAAGAATGATTAGCAGCACTGACCTCCCAAGAGCAGCTTCAGAAATCATCTGGGGACTTTTTTTTTTTGGCAACAGAGTCTTGCTGAAGTGCAGTGGTGTAGTCTCAGCTCACTGCAACCTCCGCCTCCTGGGTTCATGCGAGTCTCCTGCCTCAGCCTCCCTAGTAGCTGGGATTACAGGCACATGCCACCATGCCCGGCTAATTTTTGTATTTTTAGTAAGAGACGAAGTTTCACCATGTTGGCCAGGCTGGTCTAGAACTCCTGATCTCAGGTGATCCTCCTGCCTCAGCCTCCCAAAGTTCTGGGATTACAGATGTGAGCCATTCATTTTGCCCGGATCCCTTTTTTTTTTTTTTTTTTTTTTTTGAGACGGACTCTCACTCTGTCGCCCAGGCTGGAGTGCAGGGGCGGGATCTCAGCTCACTGCAAGCTCCGCCTCCCAGGTTCACGCCATTCTCCTGCCTCAGCCTCCCGAGTAGCTGGGACTACAGGCACCCGCCACCTCGCCTGGCTAGTTTTTTTGTATTTTTTTAGTAGAGACAGGGTTTCACCCCGTGTTAGCCAGGATGGTCTCAATCTCCTGACCTCGTGATCCGCCCATCACGACCTCCCAGAGTGCTGGGATTACAGGCAGAGCCACCGCGCCCGGCATTTTTTTTTTTTTTTGAGATGGAGTGTCCCTCTGTGGTCCAGGCTGGAGTGCAGTGGCACAGTTTCGGCTCACTGCAACCTTCGCCTCCTGGGTTCAAGTGATTCTCTTGCCTCAGCCTCCTGAGTAGCTGGGATTACAGGCGTTCGCCACCATGCCCAGTTAACTTTTGTATTTTTAGTAGAGATGGGGTTTTGCCATGTTGCTCAGGCTGGTCTTGAACTCCTGACCTCAAGTGACCTACCTGCCTCAAAGTGCTGGGATAACAGGCGTGAGCCACTGTGCCTGCCCACTGGGGACATTTTAAGTAATACGGAATGGTAGATTGTATCCAGAGAGATTCTGATATACTTTGTTGTGATAGGCAGCCTGTGAATCTATTACTGAAAAGTTAATGGTGCTGATTCTGATTTTAGCACAGCCAAGTTTAGAAACCAGTGGCCTAAGTCAGTGGCTTTTCTAAAGGTGTCTCATGTGCATGTGCAATGAGATAAAGGTTTGAGGGATAAGGAGGCTAAACATTGACTCCATGGGACCTGCTTATGCTTTAATTGTCTTTTATGTTTGGGTTCCATGTGTGTTTCCAAAAGAAGAGCTTTCTGTCAACAGATCATGTGATAATCTCTTTTCTAGAGTATTAAGATTAATGTGTAGATGCTTAATTCATGATAACTTAGAGTAAGCTGTGTACATATTTTCCTTCATAGAGTTACTAATGCAGGGTTTTTTCTAAGTTTTCTTAGGTGCTAGTTTAGATGCTAGTTTTCCATAGAAGAGAAACTAATCAAAAAGGTTTAAACTCTTAAAACTTCTGAAGAAGTTTTAGTCATCTTCCTCAATGGAATTGTTTAGGAATGTTAACTACTTTCAAACTACTGATTCAAATGTATAGTCTCACTGCTTTTTCATACTCCATGACGTTGAAATCTATTGACCCATTTGTACTTTGAATGGATCTTTTGTCCATTTGTCAAATGCCGAATAAGACAGTTGACATTATGCCTTATTCATTTGGAAAATACTTGTTCAGTGAATAGTATAGGTCTTCTGAGTGTTGACACATATCATTATACATTGAAAAAACCACATTTGTTAATATCGCCATTATTCTTATCAGAAAAGTATGTATTGAGAAGCTGTAAAACTCAAAGATAGATTCAAGTTTTCCAACATTCTAATTTTCTCTTGAAAGCTTCAGTTTTATCATTGGTAACAAATACTGTCACTTATTTCCTTTGGAGTGACAGTCTCACTGTCATTTTTGAGAAAGCCTGTCTGATACTCAAGTCTGGATAACCACTGCTTATCTGTCAGTCTGTCA